TGTATGTTTTTATTTCTTGTTATAGAAGAATGCTCATGTTTTGTAGCTTGTATGTCTTTGATCCATTTCCTGATTCCAGCTCCCTTTTCAACCATTCTTTTTGTTAGGAAGTATGTATTTCTTCACATTATTTAACCAGGTCACTTATTTCCAATATATAGTGGGCAAGTCAACTCCAATTTCTATTATATCAGAATTTTTGGTGTCATACAACTCTCCCATTTTTAGAGGGTATGCTTTTTTTCTTGCTGTCACCACTTACTCAATATTCATCTTCAAAATGTATAGAGTGAGACACAGCTATCCAGATTACAATGAGCCCATTTCTTTGCAAATTGTCAAGTTTTGTATGTGTATCTATCTGCTTTATTTCTTCTCTTTCACCATCTCTATTTCTCTTAGTGGATTGCTACATCTCCTATACCAATGGTTTCTTCAACATGTCTATCATTGAGTTATGTAGATACTACGGAGAAGCAAAAATTCTATGTACTCAGTTTCAGTTTCAGTTTCAGTCTCTTGTGATGTTTGTATATGACATATTCATTGCTGAGACTTCCACCCTACAGCATTGTGGCCTGATCATTACTTACTGTCTGTTGGAAGATCTTGAAAAATTAGTGAAGATATAGTAATTATAAACTCTTACTTCACAGAAGTCAATCACTTGTTCAAAGAGCTTTATAAAAACTTTTGTAACAATTGACCTCTGTGATATCTTATACAAGTTAAGATTGTGATGACTATCTGAGAGTTGCAGTAACTGACTAAAAACAAAGCCTTTCCAGTGGTCTTTATTGTCCTCCACAGATTTCTGAGGATTACTGCACAGTCCCAGGACTGAGTATTGGCTGATGTACCAGCCAATTTTTTCAGTCCTGTGAGGGTCCATTCCTAAGGACTGAAGACAGTCCTGAGGATTTTCAGACAGGACTAGTCCCAGGGTTGATGCATGTGATGAGTCACATGACTCATGGACATGTGCTTGGATGCATCCTGTGCATATGTGACATATCACATCACCTTCCTCTCTCAACCATCACCACCAGCAACTATGACAACAACATAATAGGGGCTGTCATGGATACACCTGGGTATTAACCATACCCGATCCATGGATTTTCCCACCCTTGGGTCAGATAAGGCACAGTATGGATATATCCATTGGTAAAATGGCCTGAGTGGCTGAGAACATAGCTTCAGTTATATAAATGAGTGTATCTCATTCATTTCTCATCCATTCTTTACAAAAAAAATTGTGTTATGAAGCGAAAATTTAGAAAAATTCATATTCAAACAAAATTTATTCATATATTATCCA